TCTTTGGGTCTGCTCGGTCCCTACAAATTTCTTGACACTGGTTATATGCGGTCGGTCTCCTATCCCAATCCGCCTGTGGCTAGGTGGCCCTCCCTCGTTGCGAGGCGGCGTCATTGACCCCTGGGTTGGGGAGGGTAGAATTCAGGCCCATTGGAACCAGGGAAAAAGAGGAGGACCCAGTCGGAGAACTCCCCGCAAGGGGTCTGAACCGAATGGGTGCTCGACCACTGCCATAAAGAAGTTGATGTCGGTGCAAGTGGCAAAACTCATATGCAGTGGTTGAGACGGTCGACTCTTTTTCAGGGGGAAAGCTCGAAGCTCACTTGAGGCCAAAAACCTGGAATGAGACCCATGTTGACTGTGGACGATCTTGATTGGACGCAGGATGATGCACGGGTCCCTGAACATGTTAGTAGGTCAAGGACGGTGTGTCCTAGAGTTTTCTTAACATGGAATGACAATCGGAAGCATGGTGATGCCACGTGGGAGTTAATGCTTTCGTAGTGCATGGGAGAAATCGCCGGACTGTTTCAGTTATGGTGGATGTCTCTAGCATCGTGTCTTTCCACTCACGACGAGAAGGCTCGACCGCAATGTCGAGTCTGGGTTGGTAGTGCCTCTGGTTTGAGTGTCAGACTTCAGTCTGTCGCACTCGGTAGATGTAACCCAACTCGTATCTTGTTGTGGCTGCAATGGGATGGCTCGGTGGCAACGCCGGGTTCTGTGCTGGTTGTTTCTCTGGTTTGAGCGTGAGGCCTCGGTCTGTAGCGCTTGGTAGAGAAACACAGCCCACTCACATCTCGTCGTGGAGGTTGAGGAAGCCCGTCTCCTTAGCCACTCGGATACGTGAAAGGCAACGCTTGCTCAAACTGGAAGCCACTGTGTGGCATGTTAAAGTCCCGTACCCATAATCTAACAAATGAGCACCACACCAAAAAAGGGGAAGGCGCTAAGAGTATGGAAAAAGGGTTGATGTTGCCCTTGGTCATGCCCCTAAAAGACAAGATGGAGCCCAAGGCGAGTACCCTGGGCCAAGCTGGCGGATACTGGGACACTGGTGGAACGGAGTAAACCAAGCGATGTCGAGTACCATATCTGAGCCCGATACGTAAGAGGGGCATACCGAACTGAGCCAAACGGCCACTGGGGCCCGAATCTTACCTACCCAGCTTTATGCGAAGGTGGTTGAATCGGTGCAAGGCAACCAGCCGGGGCGGCACATCCGTTAAACGATAACACGGGTGTCCTAAGGCGAGCTCAACGAGAACAGAAATCTCGTGTGGAGCAAAGGGGCAAAAGCTCGCTCGACTTTGACTTTCAGTACAAATACAAGCCGTGAAAGCGGGGCCTATCGATCCTTTAGCTCTTCGGAGCTTGAAGGTAGAGGTGTCAGAAAAGTTACCACAGGGATAACTGGCTTGTGGAAGCCAAGCGTTAATAGCGACGTTGCTTTTTTATCCTTCGATGTCGGCTCTTCCTATCATTGTGAAGCGGAATTCACCAAGTGTTGGATTGTTCACCCACCAATAGGGAACGTGAGCTGGGTTTAGACCGTCGTGAGACAGGTTAGTTTTACCCTACTGATGCACCGGTTCCGCGGCAGCAATTCAACTTAGTACGAGAGGAACCGTTGATTCGCATAATTGGCAATTGCGTCAGGCCGGTCGGCCTGCGGCGTGAACCTACCATGCGCCGGATTATGACTGAACGCCTCTAAGTCAGAATCCAAGCTGAAAGCGTCATTACATTCTCTGGGCTCACCCTGGCTAAGAATAGGGGACGCTTCGTGCGCCCCCAAGAGCATATGCCGAGACGCTCGTGGAACAAGAGCGGCAACCGTTTCAGGGAAACTAATCATTTGCAGACGACTTAAACCGAACGGGGTATTGTACGCGGCAGAGTAGCCTTGCTGCTACGATCCGCTGAGATTCAGCCCTTGTTCTTGACCCCCCCTCCTCCCACCCTAAACGCCTGGGGCTTAGGGAGGGGGGGGGCCCCGCACGCCCGTGAGGAAGGGCGGCGGGCAGTTGGCATTCGAGAAGGGCAAGGGCGCCCGAGGGCGAGGGCGCCGGCTGGTTGGGTTGGTCGGTTGGCCCATCGGGAGGGTTGGGTCCCCGCACCCCTCCCTCCTCCGATGGGGCGGGCTGCCGTATTAGAAGGGCAGGGTCTTTCCATTCCACCCCCCTTGACGCTACGGGGGTCGAGGCGGACTGCCTATGGGGGACCGACGCCGGGATTCGTCCTGGCGGCGCGTTACCTCCAATGGTACATGCCTCGGCATCAGTGCCGACTGTGGGGGTTACGTGTTACCTCTCCCTCTGATGCCAATGCCCGTTTGGGTACGGCTGTCCCCGAAACGGGGCACGCGCTTCAACGGTGATCGGTGCGGGGTATTTGCGGAGCACCGCACATGCTGGGTACTGCCAGCCCGGACCGCCTACCCTCCGCAACACGGGTGAAGTCTCGGACGCTAGGGGGTTCCCCCCAGGGCCTCGTAGGTGGATCGGCGTGGGAAAGGGGGCAAGGTTTCCTCCGGGGATCTTCTTAAAGCCCAAAAAAAAAAAAAAAAAAAAAATCCACCCCCCTTGCTCGGCCGCCCGCGAGGATAGGATCGATATAGAAGGGGCGCCTCTCTTTTGGGACCCCCGATCGTGCATACGGATGATGACTGACGGAATAAGGAATTAAGGAATCAAGGATAAAAGGGGGGAGGCTTTTAAAAAAGTTTGGGGGGTTTTGGCTTCTAGGGTTGGGAGTTAGAGGGTCTCCCGGGTCCGTATGGGGCCCGATCGATCGATTCGGATCCGGATGGGGCCGGATTCGGATGGGTTCGATCGATCGATCCGGATGGGTCCGGTCGATCGACCCGGGGCCGGATGCGTCCGGTCGATCGATTGGGGTTCGGATGGGGTCCGGTCGATCGATGGGGGTCCGGATGGGGCCCGGTCGATCGAAATCGGATCCCGATGGGGCTGGATTCGGATGGGTCTGGTCGATCGATTTGGGTCCGAATGGTGCCCGGTCGATCGATCTGGAACCGGGATGGGGGCTGGATTAGGATGGGTCCGGACGATCGGCCCAGGTCCGGATGGGGTCCGCTCGATCGATTCGGATCCGGATGGGGTCGGATTCGGATGGGTTGGATCGATCGATCTGGATCCGGATGGGTCCAGACGATCGGCCCGGGTCCGGATGGGGTTCGGTCGATCGATTCGGATCCGGATGGGGCTGGATTCGGATGGGTCCGGTCGATCGATTCGGGTCCGAATGGGTCCCGGTCGATCGATCCGGATCCGGATGGGGCTGGATTCAGATGGGTCCGGACGATCGGGCCGTGTCCGGATGGGGTCCGGTCGATCGATTCGGATCCTGATGGGTTTGATCGATAGAACCGGATGGGTCCGGTCGATGGATCCGGATGTGTTTGATCGATGGATCCGGATGGGGCTGGATTCGGATGGGTCCGGTCGATCGACAAGGATCCGTTTGGGCCTGGTCGATTGGATCCGCATGGGCTTGATCGATGTGTCCGGATGGGTTCGATCGACGGATCCGGATGGGTTTGTCCGATCGATCCGCACGATCGATGGATCCGGATGGGCTCGGTCGATCGACCTGGATGGGTTCGGTCGATGGATCCGGATAGGCTCGGTCCATTGATCCGGGTGGGTTCGATCGATGGAATCCGGATGGGTTCCATTGATGGATCCGGATGGGCTCGGTCGACCGATCCGGATAAGCTCGTTCGATCGATCCGGATGGGTTGGATCGCTGGAACTTGATGGGCTCGATGGTTTGATCCCGATGGATTCGATCGATCAAACCGGACGGGCTCGACGTTGGATCCGGATGGGTTCAGTCGATGGGTTGGGATGAGTTCGGTCGATCCATCCGGATGGGTCTACGGATGGGTTCGATCGGGCGAACCCGATGGGCTTGCCCCTTGGGTGCTCACCTTGCCTTGTACTAGGTCGTGCGGTGCCCTGGGGGAAGAAAAGGCATCCGATCCATCCGGTCATATCCGGATGCTCGTTGGCTCTAGGGTGGTGTGGTGCCTCGAAACGGCTCACACCCGCCCTAGAGCCCTTTTTTCCCGGTTGGAAATCGACTACACCAGAAGGGCTTGTGGGCTCTAGGGTGGTGTGGTGCCTCGAAAGGGCTCACACCCGCCCTAGAGCCCATTTTGCCCGGTTGGAAATTGACCACACCGGAAGGGCTTGTGGGCTCTAGAGTGGTGTTGTGCCTCGAAAGGGCTCACACCTGCCCTAGAGCCCTTTTTGCCCGGTGGGAAAGTGACTACAGCGGAAGGGCTTGTGGGCTCTAGGGTGGTGTGGTGCCTTGAAAGGGCTCACACCCGCCCTAGAGCCCTTCTTGCCCGGTTGGAAATCGACTACACCGGAAGGGCTTGTGGGCTCTAGGGTGGTGTGGTGCCTCGAAAGGGCTCACACCCTCCCTAGAGCCCTTTTTGTCCGGTTGGAAATCGAGTACACTGGAAGGGGTTGTGGGTTCTAGGGTGGTCTGGAGCCTCGAAAGGGCTCACACCCGCTGTAGAACCCTTTTTGTCCGGTTGGAAATTGACTACACTGGAAGGGTTTGTGGGCTCTAGGGTGGTGTGGTGCCTCGAAAGGGCTCACACGCGCCCTAGAGCCCTTTTTGTCCGGTTGGAAATCGACTACACCGGAAGGGCTTGTGGGCTCTAGGGTGGTGTGGTGCCGCGAAAGGGCTCACACCCGCCCTAGAGCCCTTTTTGCCCGGTTGGAAATTGACTACACCGGAAGGGCTTGTGGGCTCTAGGGTGGTGTGGTGCCTCGAAAGGGCTCACACACGCCCTAGAGCCCTTTTTGTCCGGTTGGAAATCGACTACACCGGAAGGGCTTGTGGGCTCTAGGGTGGTGTCGTGCCTCGAAAGGGGTCAAATGAACCGGGTGGGAAGTTTGAAAACCAAATGGGGATGGTCCAAGGGGACGGATGATCCCATGGGCCAGTTCAAATCCGCCCTTTGGGTCAAATGAACCGTGTGGGGAGTCAAAAAACCAAATGGGGATGGTCCCAGGGATTGGATGAACCCATGGGCCGGTTCAAATCCGCCCTTGGGGTCAAATGAACCAGTTGGGGGTTCAAATACCTGAGTTGGGATGGGCTCTTGTGTTGGAGTAGCCCATGGGCCGGTTCAAATCCGCCCTTGGTTTCAAATGAACCAGGTTGGTTGTAAAATAACCAAATGGGGATGGTCTCAAGGGTTGGATGAACCCATGGGCCGGTTCAAATCCGCCCTTGGGTCAAATGAACCAGCTGGGGGGTCCCAAGGGTCAATCTTGCCATCCCATGGATGCATAAACAGGTTGCCCCAAACGATGGTAACCCAACGTAATCCAGGC